ATATGGGTCAAAGAGGTTAAGCAAGAGGGACCCCAATGCTGGTGGGCCCAAGCACTGCCTCACTTAATAAATAATAACTCACACATTTTCCTAGTCCTGGGAGATGAGTTGTCATTAACCACATAATAAAAATCCACATAATTCACCTGAATCCAATCACTTCTCACCACTCCCCTAGATCAAGCCCCATATTCACTCACCTGCTAGGTCTCCCTACATCTGCTCTACCCAGCAGTCAGCAGTGTTTTTTTTAACCATGTGTGTGTATTTGCATAAAAGCAAAATAATGTGTATGTACAAGGATATTCACTGTAACATTTCCTATGGACAAGAAACAACACAAATGTCCAGCAATTATGGAACATCCACACAATGAAATATTATGTAACTACATAAAAGAATCAGGCAGCTCTTTATAGACTCACATGGAATGATCACCACGACATGGTGGATAGTTAAAAAGCAAGTTTCAGGATAGTACATATCACTCTGTTTTTCTCCTTTTTGTAAATATATATAATATACTTTCAAATACATAAAATATCTCTGAAATGACACACAAAATACTACTAAGTTGTTACATCTAGGGAAAAGAACAGAATAACCAGGGAATGGAAAAAGGCTTACTTTTGTAGTTTCTGGATTTTGAACCATTATTTATGATTATTAACCATCCAAAACAAAGCAATTTAAAAGGACCATGCTGTGTTGCTGATAACACCAAGGTCCAGGGTTCGATCCCTGCACCAACCAGCAAAAAAAAAAAAAAATCAACCTCATACACAAAAAGTTTTAAAAGTTTGGAGGACCTCTTAAGTTTTCTCCCAAACATTAGGTTGTGTGCTACTCCAAAATTTCAGAGGTTAGTAAAAAGAAACCATACTCTTATCTTTATTCCTTTGGTACAATAAGTATGTGATAAATAATTGTTTCTTGATTTAATAGATCTTTTTCTTATTCTAGCACAGAATCCCGTCTGCTTCAGATAAGAGTTCTGGCACCTGAAACCCAACACGTTACCCCGAACAGCTCCTCAAACTATGCAACAGAAGATATATTTTGGAAAGGTTATATTTTTATTTTTATTTTTTTTTTATTTTATTTATTTATTTTTTTTGTCTTTTTTCCGTGTCCAGCAACGGATCGCAACCCTCAGTGTTGCCCCCGTACCGGCCCGGGGTCCGGCAACGGGATCGCAAGCCTCGGTGTTGCTCCCGCGCCTCGCTCAGCCAGTGAGCGGGAGCCGGTCTGTATGTGGGATCCGAACCCTCGGACGGGAGCGCCGCCGCGCTTCCGAAGCGGTGCACTATCCAGTGTGCCACCGGGCGGGCCCCAAGGAAAGGTTATATTTTTATTTTTATTTTATTTTATTTATTTATTTTTTTTGTCTTTTTTCCGTGTCCAGCAACGGATCGCACCCCTCAGTGTTGCCCCCGTACCGGCCCGGGGTCCGGCAACGGGATCGCAAGCCTCGGTGTTGCTCCCGCGCCTCGCTCAGCCAGTGAGCGGGAGCCGGTCTGTATGTGGGATCCGAACCCTCGGACGGGAGCGCCGCCGCGCTTCCCAAGCGGTGCACTATCCAGTGTGCCACCGGGCCGGCCCCAAGGAAAGGTTATATTTTTAAAGTGTAATATACACGGCAGATATTTATTGTGCTTGAGTAATATTTTTTTTCCTAGAAGATACTACAATAATAAATAGTATAAGGAATTTACTTGCCTTCTAGGGCTTTTCATCTATCTAGCTTAGGAACTAGGACACTTTTATATGACAAAATAACTACCATGCTATGGAGGATATTATTTACAGATGCCAGATAAGTAGAATAAATAAGCAATCCCTCAAGAAACTCAGGATGAAATATCACATCTACTAGAGTAGTCAGTAAAGGCTTCAAAAGAGAAATTGAATCTGAATTGGGCTTGATGATCTAATGTCAGTAAGCTAGGAATTGCACAGTAAGGGACATCTGGGTGGTTCAGAAACAAGTGAGCAGGCCAGACTGGATAAATGAAGCCTGCAGGTGACAAGGAGTACTCCCCACTCCTGAAAATCCACTTCATCAGCCCCTGATGCCAGTATCCTTCCATTGCCCTGGATTAATTTTGATTCTTCCTAGTATTTCCCAGTTGTCATTTCTTTTCCATTTTCACCACTGCAAAGCATCCAAGCTCTCATTCCCTCCCTCCACAAAGATCTCCAAACTCATCCTCCTGTGTCCGATCTCTCCACTCTCCAATTCATGGTTCACTCTCCACATTTGTTACTTTATATGCATAACCCACTCACCCAAACTCCTCAAACCTGCCAATGGCTAGCCACCACTTGCAAAATAAAATAATTCTCCCTTGCATTCAAGGCTTCTGTCATTTGCTCTCTGTCCACCTCTCACTCCATCACTGAACTCATTCTCCATAAACATAATATACAAGCTACTCGCTTATGCCATGTTGTTCCTCTTACCTGGAGAAGTCTCCTTATTTTGTTCCCAGGTGGGGCACACATGGGTGTGCAGGATGCATTAACTACAGTCTATGTAAATGACACCCACTCCAGTGTTGGGCAGTGTACAACCTCTGCAACCTTCCAACCATGGCTTGTTTTCATCCTCACCCACCTTAATGGTCTTCTCAGATCAATTGAACTCTCAAAGATCATTTGTGCCTGTGATTCCTACATCACCCACTTGACACCAACTTTTCTTTACAACAAAAATTTGCAATACTATATTTGGAAAACCAACAGTGCCTTGAACACAGCAGATACTCAAAAGATACTTGCAAATTATGATGGGATAAGTCAAGAATGACAGGTTGTGGTTAAATTGTAAAGAGCCTTGATTGCAAGCCAAGAAAGAAGTTTTGGCTTTATTTGGTAGATGCCAAATATGAGCAAATGATCAGAATGATGTTTTGGAAAGACTAATTTCAGCAACCACAAGTAGGCAGGGTTTGAAAGACGATATTTAAAGTGCCAGCTTAGGGGCCCTCTCTGTTGAAGGAGGCAAGTGGGGGCTTCCTCTGCAATGTGCAGTATACTCAGCCATCCTTCAGTTTATCTGTTTGGGATTGCAGATATTGGTTTTCTTATACCTACACTCAGAGAGTGAAGCTGGGCCATTAAGCAAAACAAAAACAAAAACATGCTTTTGCCTGAAATATCTGAATATCCAGGGAACAGTTCTGACTTGAATAATTATATACATACAGTACCTACAATACATATACACAAATTAAGCATTATCTTTTTCCTTCACTTCTGCAGTCTCCCTTTTCCATCTCTGTCTCTTCCCATTTGGTTTCTTCCATTTCTCTCTCCCTACAATTATTATTTATCTCTCATTTCTTCCCAAATGCTTTACAACAATGAACTCCAGACTGCTCTCCTCTTCTCCCAAAACTCCCTCCCTCCCCCAAAATTTATTATTAAGATATTTCACTGCTTATATATTCATTTAGTTAACTCCTTCAATATCTGTATTAATAACTCAATTCTCCTATTTCCTTCGCTAATGTAGCTCAAACCCTCACTAACCTCAGAATTCTACAGTTACTAGTGAACCACTTCAAGGCCAGTCATTCATGGCTCATTTTCCTATAGACCTCTTAAAATAATAATAATAAAAAAAAACAAGGGCCCTTATATATTGTACTTAGACAAATAAATTAATTTTATTGTACTGATGGAGTATGAAAAAAGTAATTCTTATCTGTAAATTGAAAACAGTACCTAATACACTAAACAAAATGAGTTTCCTAATGAATTTCTTTTCAAAGCATGTATCTTGGATTTCATGCCAAGATGGTATATCACTAATAGACTCTGTGGTACTAGACAATTTTATTCACTTCTTAGATTTACATAAAAATCCTTACTCCCCATAGGAAGAATATTATCTGGAAATAATCCATTGCAATATTAAGACACACAGCACCATTCCTAACATGCACATGCCTGTCAGGAAAGCATTACAAGGTGAAACCTTAAATTTAAAAAAAGTTAATGGAGGGGCATTCTTAAAACAGTATCAAACAAAGGTAAAACAGAATATACAATTTGGGTTTTGTGCCCAAAAGGGCTGTCTCCCTTGAAAGTCCAACTTTAGTCTGCTTATTCCTCCCACCAAAAATGCAAAATAAACTCACTTGTACTAAAAACAGAAAATTGTTATCACCATTGAAAGGTAAGCACAATCTTAGGAAAGATTAAAATGTTTTCTTTTCATCCTAGTGAAATGAAAAGAAAAAAACATAAACTACCCAATACTGTTTCTGGATTTAAGGCAGTTTAAATTTTTCTCCTCTCCCGAGGTAATGACTTTTTCCCTTGGCATATAGAAGACCCTTTGAAAATCACGATGTGAATCTTTGATAGCAAAAAGAGGACAGGAGCCTTGCTAACTCCATACTTTTCAGAAAAAGAAGGGAGAAAAGGTCACAGGCAACCACTATTTAGAGCCTATCGTTAAATTAACCTCCCTTATACTGTAACAATTCTTTTACAACACATATTATGCCAGGGGCACCCCGGCAAAGTGTACAGAATGGGTGGACAGTGTAGCGCAGACCACATTTCACCATGGTAAGACTTCATCTTTTCAGACACGGCCAAAAATTAGCAAATAATTCAAACTTCTCTTAGTTCAAGCTTACATTGTTGAATACTAACAATAAAGTTTAAAGAAACCTAATCAGCAGGCTGCTATTTGCTCAAAAGCAAACTACAAAGAAGGAAGGTTTGTCTATCTCTATCCGACCCTCCTCTCCACGCCAAGGGATTTCGCACTCGACAGGCGCGTCTAGAGTACTGTCCAGAACTGGCTAGTGCCCGGGAAACAGGGGTGGGGACCAAGCGTCCCTCAGTTGGCCGCGCCTGCGGCCTCGTTGGGCCCCAACCCAGCTTGGCTTGGCTGCCCGGAGGCAGACAGGACCGAGACGCAACGGACGGACGGACAGACTGGACAGGACGGACGGGACGGGCAGAGAAGCAGTGCGTCCTACCCGGAGGGCTCCCTCCCAGGGCCGGCGGAGTACCTGCTCCGGTCATCCAGGCTGCGGTTGTCTGCGGCCGCCGCGCGCCAGTCGGGCAGCGTGCTGGCGCAGAGAACCACCATAGACACGATCACGAACACCACGGACACGCTGGCCAGGATCTGCGCGGCCAGCGACGACGTGGGCTCCTCGAAGGTCCGCCGCATGCGCTCCAGCCAGCGTCTGGAGGGAGCCGCCTCGGCTCCGCCGGGTCGCGCCTCGTCGCGGCCCAGCGCGCCCGGCTCGTCGGCCGAGTAGAAGGTGTAGGTGTCGGACATGCGGTCGTCGAGGCGGCGCTGGCAGCAGTACTCGAGGTGCGCGCCCTCCAGGCCCCAGTAGATCATCTCGTTGTAGAAGGAGAGCTCGCACATCCGCGGCGCGAAGCGCAGCTTGCCGTGGCCGCGCACGTAGAGCAGGATGAAGCCGAAGGCCTCCGAGTGCCGGTCGAAGAAGTACTCGTTGCGCTCGCGGTCGTAGTCGTCGCACACCTCGAGCACGTCGCGCTCCGAGCGGCAGCCGTGCAGCCGGCTCACGCGGCGCAGCGGGAAGTCCTTCAGCAGCTCCCGGGACAGCGAGTACCGGGCGCCGCCCACGTTCAGCACCACCGAGGCCGCCCTGCTGCGCCCGAAGGTCATGGTTGGCCGCCCCCCGGGGCCTGCCTGCCCTGGGCCGACGGGGGGGAGCGCACCGTCGGGGCCCGCTCTCCCTGGGGGCTCCGCTCTTGCCCTCCGCCGGCCCGGGAGCCCCTCGGCTCTAGCCTTCTCGGCAGCACAGAGTCGCTGCTAGCGACGCGCCCTCCGCGCGGCGGTACCTGCGGGTGGCCGGGGAGTCCCCTCCGGCGCCAGCGCTGCGCCCCGC